AGGTAAGGAAGGCTTCATGTAGGAGGTGGTGTTTTGAAGGAAGCTAGACATTCTAAGAGGCAGAGATGAGGAGAGAGGGAATTCAGGAAATGGGGGACAGTCTGGCAAAGGCACAGAGATAGACTGTTGTATCATGGGACTAAAAGGTCACCATTTTACAGAAGAGGATACTGAGGCCAAGAGGGCAAGTGACTTGCCCGATGTCTTACAGGTCCTAAGTAGCAGCCTCTGACCACAAATCCAGCACACTTTCCTTTGGGCGAGGGTGCTTTAAAGGACACTATTACTGCTGCTGCTACTACCACTACTATCATATGTTGTTAATAATAATGATGATTCCCCTTTCTATAGTGCTTTAAAATGTATAAAACACATTCACAAAAGCCCATTTTACAGAATGAAAAACTGAGACCCATTAGGAAAGGGACTTGCCCCGGGCTCACACAGCTAGGACTGGGCCCTCGGTCTGGACCAGAGTCTTCTGCGGGATCGTCAGGGCCTATGTTCTAACTACCATGGCTTCTCTTTCTCCCTCCCCCCAGATGAGCCTGGCCAGCGTAGACACAGAGGCCCCGCTGGCCATGGCCTTGAACCTCTCGAACCTGGGGCCCAGGGAGCACATCCTGGAGCTTCTGCCTGCGTTGGAGGGCCTGGAGAACCGGGTGCTGTACATTATTGCTCACGGCAATGAGGGGGGCTTCTTCCGTATGCAGCACAAGGAGGGCCTCAGCTACCTGCGCCTGGGTCGCAAGAAGCCCGGCCCCGGTGCCTACCAGCTGGAGGTCATGAGTGTGCCCAGGCTGCTGGGAGATGAGCTGCAAGAACAGGCTGGGGAGGGAGGCCAAGCTCTGAGGCTGAAACTGCAGCTGCAGCTCTACTAGGTTGGAGGCCCCAGGCCCTGGCCCCGGCCCTGACCCTGACCCTGACCCTGACCCTGACTCCCCTGGCCCACATTATCTGTGTCCCTTCCTTCTCCATACACACATACATGCGCGCGTGCACACACACACACACACACACACACACACACACACACACACCCCGCTGTGAATCTTGGGCACTGCCCCACCCCTTTACTCTAGACTGTGTTTCCTGCCTAGGCACCATCCTTGCCCACTACACGCAGTGTATCCTAACCCCGCCCTGCCCTCTCTCCTGCCTGGCACAGCCACTCCCTTTATTCTACCCTGTTCTTTCTCCAGTGCCACCGCCTTCACCCCACACAGCCCAAACCACCTGGCCTCCCCTCTTCCCTGCTGAGGCTGCCTTGGGGCCTCTGGAGAGGGCAACCCTGCCCACCTTGCTGGATAGGGCCAGGCTGGAGGCTATAGGCTCGGGAGCCTCTAGCACCTTGCCCAGTTTGGAGCTGTGAGGGCATAGGAAGGGGGAAGGGGAGGGAGTATCATGTTAAATTTCTTTGAGAGAGTGGATCTAGTGACTTGCAAGGGGGAAAGAGAAAGACCTTTAAGTTCCACCTAGCCCAGGCCCTGCTTTTTTCTTATCTTGGTGCTTCTCCCCCAATATTCCTGAAGGCCTGATTCTCCACCACCACCGCTGGACATCAGCCATGAGATCTGGGAGTTCCAAAAGGCAGCCCCCAATTTCCCAGGCTCACCCAGAGCTGCCCTCTCTCAGACATACACACACCTGCGCCGTGTCCTCTCTTCCCAAAGGTCCCGTCCATCTCCCATCTCTCACCAGTTTGTCTCTTCATCCTTATCCAACCTGTGTTTACTGTATCTTGGTTTATTCTCAGACTTGAAAAATGTCTGTATCGCACTGAGGCCGGCCCCAGGGAGTCAGAGGGTCAGGGGCCGGTTTCTGAGGGAGCTTCATTCAGACCAAAGGAGCTTCATGTGAATGCCAGTCCTGGGAGCTCCTCAAGGCAGCTGGGGGTAGGGATCGGGGCATCGGGCTATTAGCAAAAGAAGCCAGATTTGGGGGCATGTGTGTCCCCATCCCCATCTCCCACCCCCCACCCTACCCCTCCCCTGCCAGGAAGGCTGGGGCAGGGCTCTGGGGACCCTGTTTTGTATTAAAAGAAATGGCAACAATAAAATTATTTTGGGTTAAGTTTGTCCTCTTGTGAGTTCTTGGTGAAGCCTCTGATCTCACTCACTCTGTGTGCCCTGCCTTTATCATTCCACCACACCTGCCACATTTCTTGTCTCCCATCCAATGCCCAATAGTGACATTGGCTGAGTCAAGACGGAAAGAGTCAGTTCCCTGTCTCTACAGGTGGTGAAGTGGAGGCCTGGAGACCACGTGGTTTGTTGAGGATGAGGCTCCTGTTCAGATATGGGTGAGGTTAGGTGACCTCTGAAGTCCCTTCCAACAATGTTCTAAGGGCGTCCCCAGCTCTAAAACATTCTAAGTCCCTTCCCGATCTAAGGTGCTGTGTTCTAACTCTTTTCGAAGGTCCCTTCGCCGCTCCAGCATTCTGTCTGTAGGGGAGGGAAATTTGATTCCCCATTCCCTCAGCTCGCTCAGAATGTGGTTGCAGATGATGAAGTTTTAATGGGTTAACAAAGCATTCAAAACTCTTTGAAGTATAAATCCCTTTATGAAGTGTGAACCCCTTTCTATGATGAGTCATTAGTGAAAATTGGTTGTGTCTTTGCAAGGCTATAAATAGCTGAAACAGGAAGAGTTAGAGTTCCTTAATTTTGGAGGCTGATGGCAGGAGTTAGCAGTCAGGGAAGAAGCCAACTCTTCAATGAGGGGGGGAGATACAGGAGAAAATTCTCTTTCTTTCTCCCTCCCCATTGGCTATCGGGAGCTACTCCCCGAGAAGGAGATACCCTATCCAGCTGCTGAAGAGTTCATTTAAGAGAGTCGGAGGTACAGTTGAGTCGACACACTCTACATAGATGTGGATACAGAGAGGCGGTCCCTGGAAGGAGGAAATAGCTCTGAGGCAAAAGAAAAGAGAGGGACGGGAGAGGGAACTAGCCCTGGCAACTGAAAGTTGGGCTATAGAAAGTACTATAAGGGGCAGCTAGGTGGCACAGTGGATAGAGCTCCGCCCTTGGAGTCAGGAAGACCTGAGTTCATATTTGACCTCAGACATTTGACACTTACTTGCTGTGTGACCCTGGGCAAGTCACTTAACCCCAATTGCATCAAAAAAAAAAAGTAGTGTACAAGAATAGAAAGGACTTTGAGGCCCAGCCATATGGGAAGAATGAATATTGTTGGCCTCACTTCAACTGTACTCTATGCCCTCTATTTCCACAGATATTATGTATATTTTTTAAAAGGAGAACTCCAGTTTGGGGTGAGGGGGACATTTGATAGTTTACTGTTCTTACTACACCATCTTAGTGAATGCCTCTGCCAAGAGCTAATTGTGTCTACTGGCTGACCACTAATGGGAAACACACAAAGCAGAGCTCATGAACTGTAGGCATGCAGACCAAGAGGTTGAACCTTCAAACCAGAGGTGGCAACCACCCTCTGGGGTCTCAATCTTTGAGAGCAAGTTGGGTGAGTAGCCTAGGGATCATATTCTTTGTGTCCTGTATTTTACGGTTCCTTCCATCTCTGGTGAAGTGACTTGCTTAAGGTTTCACAGCTAGTATGGGACAGAGCCAGGACTAGAACCCAGGGGCCAGAACCTGCCATGGTCCTTGGTTCACATGGATCCCAAATAGATGGCATTTACTCTACTGATCCTAAATACAATCAACCTTTTTTTAAAATTTTGAAAAGTCTTTTATTTTTTCCCAATTACATGTAAAAAAAGTTAACATTTGTTTTTTAAAATTTTGAGTTCCAAATTCTCCCCCTCCATAAATCCCCTCCCCACTCACTGAGAAGGCAAGCAACTTAATACAGGTAAGATGTGTGCAGTATTGCAAAACATATTTCCATATCTGTCATGTTTTGAAAGAAAACACTGCCCAAAATAAAAAGAAAAAAGTTTTTTTTTAAAGTGTGCTTCACTCTGCGTTCAGACTCCATCAGTTTTTTCTCTGGAGGTAGACAGTATTTTTCATCATGAATCCTTTGGAATTGTCTTAGATCATTGTATTGATCAAAACAGCTAAATCATTCATAGTTGTTCATCCTTACAATATAGCTGTTGCTGTATGCCATGTTCTGGTTCTGCTCACTTCACTTTGTATCAGTTTATGTAAATCCAGATTTTTCTGAAAGTATACTGCTCATCATTTCTTATAGTACAATAACATTCCATCACAATCATATATGACAACTTGTTCAGCCTTTCAACAATTGATGGGCATCCTTTTAATTTCCAATTCTTTGCCACCACAAAAAAAGAGTTGCTATAAATACTTGTGTATATATCAGTCCTTTTCCTTTTCTTTCTTTTTTTTATCTCTTTGGGATACAGACCTAGGGTATGCGCAGTTGTATAACCTTTGCACATAGTTCTAAATTGCTCTCCAGAGTGGTTGGATCAATTCACAACTCCACCAACAGTGCATTAGTGTCCCAATTTTCCCACATTCCCTCCAACATTTGTCATTTTCCTTTTCTGTCCTATTAGTCAATCCAATAGGTGTGAGGTGGTACCTCAGAGTTATTTTAATTTTCATTTCTCTAATCAACAGTGATTCAGAGCATTTTTTCATGTGACGATAGATAACTTTGATTTCTTCATCTGAAAATTGCCTGTTCATATCCTTTGACCATTTGTCAATTGAGGAATGACTTGTATTCCTATAAATTTGACTCGGTTCTCTATATATTTAAGAAATGAGACCTTTATCAGAGATACTTGCTGTAAAATTTTCCACCAATTTTCTACTTTCCTTCTAACCTTGGCTACATTGGTTTTGTTTGTGCAAACACTTTTTAATTTAATGTAATCAAATTATCCATTTTATATCCCATAATGCTCTCTATCTCTTGTCTTTATTCCTTTATGTCTAAACCACGTATCCATTTTAATCTTATCTTGGTACAGCGTGAGACACGATCAATTTTTCAACAAACATGTTTCCCATACAACCAGTAAATAGCTGAGTCAAGACTTGAATCCAGTTCTTCCTATCTCAAATCTAGTGTTCAGGAAACAGTGAGTGGGCTGGTTTCACTGTAAATACTATGACGGGGAGTGATATGAAATGTCCAGAAAGGCAAGTAGAAGCCAGATTGTGGAGGGCTTTAAATGCTAGGCTTGTCCTTGAAGCTCTAGGGAATCATGGAAAATTTCTGAGTAGGGGCGAACTTTGTGGATCCTACAAAAGAAAAAAAAAAGAGAGAAAAGAGAAAAAGGGTGAACAACATTCTAGTAATAGTAATTCTCCTTCACCCTGACTGTCCATATCTGCTGCAGGCCTCAGTCTTATCTTTTCCAGAGGAGGTTCCTTCCTCCCTTCCTCTAACCCTCTTGAGTCCCTGGGTGGAAAGTAGGGGTCCAGGAAGGGAAATAACCTGAGCTGGTTGGGGTCAAAACATCTGGACCACTAGGCATGAGAACTGGCAACCTTTCCAACATTCAAATAGAAACTTCACAATCTGCTCTTCCCCAACACAACTTCTTGCCCCAGGTTTCTGCTTACCTGAGAGGTTCTCCAGCCTCATCTGGTTCCTACCAGCGCCATGTACTCGATGGGCCTGGACACTCTGGGCCAAGGGCCTGGTTGAATTGGTGATGTTTCCTGGGGAGACACAGGACAAAGTGAGGGACAAAGGGGAGAAGAGGAGGTGGCACCTGACATTAGAGTAGAACGATGATGATGTCAAGGGATGGTGGAAGGGCATCAGACTTGAGATTTAGAGCTAAAAAGGACTTTATAAGAGGCTTTGTTTTACTCATTTTTTCTCAGTGGGAAGGGGGTGGGAGGTCAAATGGAAATAAGGATAAAGAGGAAGAAAAAGGAGGTCAGTGAGGTGTGTGTGTGTGTGTGTGTGTATGTGTGTGTGTGTGTTTGCTGCTGCTGTTGTTGTGCAGTCATTTCATTTGTATCTGACCCTTCATGACCCCATTTGGGGTTTTCTTGGCAAAGATGCTGGAGTGGTTTGCTATTTCCTTCTCCAGTTCATTTTATAGATGAGGAAACTGAGGCAAACAAGGTTAAGTGACTTGCCCAGGGTCACAGGACTAGTAAGTGTCAGATCTGAACTCTTGAAGATGGGTCTTCCTGACTTCAGGCCTGACATTCTATGCACTATACCACCTGATTGTCTGTGTGCATGTAGATAGATAGATAGATAGATAGATAGATAGACAGACAGACAGATATGTAGGTAAGTAAATAGATATGTAGATAGATAGATAGATAGATAGATAGATAGATAGATAGATAGATAGATAGATAGATAGATAGATATAGATAGATAGATAGATAGATAGATAGATAGATAGATATGTAGGTAAGTAAATATGTAGATAGATATCGATATGCATATATATATGTGTATGTACATATGTATATATACACATATATGCATACATACATATACACACAGAGACAAGCAGAACATATTTGAAAGCTACAGGTTGAGTTTATTAAATGCATATTAAGGAAAGCCAGCTGTCCAAAATAGAAACCTGCAGTTTCCTGTGCAATCCTCTCTTTTTGTTTCATCCTATTGTATATATACAAATGTCCAAATTCTATTTGGTGTTTTCTAAGTTCAGAATAGAAAAATGAGGAGGAGAGAGAGAGAGAGAAAGAGAGAGAGGGAGAGAGATAGTATATGGGATAGATATGTGAATAAATAAATGGATAAATGGATGAATAGATAAATAGATAAATGGAAGGAACATTGGAGATTATTTAGCCCAACCCCCTATCATGGCACAGTAGAATAAGCCCTGGCCTGGCAATCTGAGAAACTGGGTTCAAATCTTGCCTCTGGTATTTACTGTCTGTGTGACATCAGACTATAAGGTATAAGAAGTTATGTTTCCACAAATATAGAGGAAGTGGTACTAACAATAGAATTCAGAAGTTGTCACAGGGGCAGAAGGAGCAGTCTTGCTCAAGAATTATTTTTAACAAATGCCACCCAGAGACAGACAAAAACCTGATGGCATTAGCAGTGGGGGTTAGAAGTGAAGAAAATAATAGCTTGGGTAAGGTGCACATGCTTAATGAGCCTCTGCTTATTAACTTCTCCTCCCCAGGGGGAGGATTAACACAATTTTAGGTATAATGTTTTATGTAGAGGGAGGGACCTTGCATTTCAAGACAGGAATATAACTGCTTGCTCTCATTTCTGGAGGGTGTGTCTGCCCCTAGCAGCATACCTGCTTCTTGCAAGAACATATAATAAATGATCTTGCCTCATCTACCTCAAGAGTCTTTGTTTTTCCTATAGAAATTATCCCTAACAATTTGGGAAATCATCCAGGATCTGAAACATAGAAGGAGGAGGGCAACCACCACCGAAGGATGGAGAGAGGCGTGCCCCACTGAGTTCAGTGGTTTCATGGATGGTCGGTGAGTGTCCAGACCTGAGACTTTGATTTGGAGCGAGGTGGAGTGACACGGGTGAGGAATAGGAGAAAAACCATGGCTACTACACAAAGTCTATGTACAAAGCAAGGTAAGAAAGGTTGGACTTCCAAGTACTACCTTGTTAGTAAGATCATTCTGCCTAAAAGAACTATAGAGTAAGACTGGTACTCATAGATAGGTAGAATGGGGAATAAGGAAACTAAGGTGCCTGGAGAAGGGGCAGGGATGAGGGCCCCTGGAAGCATACCTCCGAACAGTCCCTTGAGGAGGATCTTGGAGAATTGGAATGGATGTACATGTACAAAGGATAAGAATAAGAAATAGATGATTAAGTTCTGTTGTGTTATTTGGCCCAAGGAAAGCATTATGCCTCCAGGTGTTTTGACCCAAGTATGGAGGCCAATGAGGATTGGATATGCCAAGCATTAAATGTCTATGTGAATGAAAAAAAAAATTTAGTCAAGAGGAGAGTGATAATGCCTCTTATTGGAAAGAGGAGGGGGATCCCTCAAAGGAGAAGGAAGTCAAAACATACCCTCTGAGGGAGGTCACTTTAGATCAAGAGGAAATTAGGTTTGTAAATGCCCCACTGACTGCCAGCTAAGTAAGAACATTTGGACTATTAAGTATTGTCTTGTAGGGTTGAGTAAATATCAGAGTAGTCTGGGACTACAGTAATGTGGAGAAGATCCACACAGGAGGTCTTGTCAAAAGAGAAACAAGCACCAAGTTAGATATTTACAAGAAATCCTAGGGAAGGATGTAGGAGGGGAATAAAAGAAAAAAAGGGAGAAGTCCTCTGAGAACACTCCTCCAGATAGTCCCTAGGGAGGATATGGAAGAAAAAGGAACAGCGCTGGCAAATGATGGGGGTTTTTTGACTGGTCAAGGTTACTTTAAAATTAGAGTTGTGCACACTTTGTCTTGTCAAGCTGTCTCTGTCTGTGTGTGTGTGTGTGTGTGTTTGTAAGTGTTTCATGTTTGTGGTGAAAGTTGTTAAATGCAGCCAGAAGCCTTTGGAGGAGCTTCTCAGGGAAGCACAGAAGGTGTTTGTGAGAAGGGAGGAAGAAAGAAGCAGAAGGCCAAGCTCATGGTGGCCACTGTACAAGAGGTAATGAAAAAGAAAGGGGAATAAGGGCCAAAGAAAGCCCCTTTTCAGGCAGGGACCCTAGGAAGGGAGCAAGCCAAGGGAAAACACCTCCCTGGATGTTATTTCTGTGGGAAGCCTGGACACTTCCAAAGAAAGTGTCCTGAGCTGAGAAGGGAAGAAAAAGTAGTCAGTCCCCTTGATGACATTTGAGGAAGAGGGAGGGAGTCAGCAGTTCTTGAAACAAGGAGCCCACCTGGAACCCTTGATAAATTTGAAGGTGGGACCCTGGGAGGACGATGTGGTTTTTCTGGTAGATACTGGGGCTACCCAATCCTCCCTCAATTTCAAACCTGGGGATATACGATTTTCAGGACAAAAACTAAAGGTATCAGGATTCAAAGGGGAAGGATTCCTGGTTCCAATTTTTTGAAGTCATTAAGGTTAGGGGTGGTAAAAGAGGGATGGTAGCTCAGTTCCTATATATTCCAGAGGCAAGAAGTAATCTGTTGGGGAATGATCTAATAATTCAGTTAAATTTGCTAATTGAGACATACGATCAAGAAATTGAGGTAAAGATGGCCATATTAACTGAGGAAGATGAGAATGGAATAGAAGGATCAGTATGGGTAAAGGAGGAAAATAGGGGAGGATTGAGTATTGCATCAATCAAAATAAGTTTAAACAGGAAGGGGAGATAGTGAGGATTAAACAATACCTGATACCTAGTGAAGGAAGGAGGGGATTGCAGCCAATCATTGAAGGACTATCAGGGACAGGTTATCGGAACCCTGCATGTCCCCATACAACTCTCCTGTATTACCTGTAAGGAGGACTGATGGTTTCTACAGGTTGGCACAAGACCTTAGGGCCATAAATAAAATTGTGGCTTCTAGACATCCTGTAGTCCCAAACCCATATGCTTTAATGGGGAGAACCCCTTATAAAGATAAGTGGTTTAGTGCAGTTGATCTTAAAGATGCCTTCTGGATTTGTCCCCTCTCTAAGGAAAGCAGGGAACTTTTTGCCTTTGAATGGGAAGATCCTTATATGGAAAGAAAACAACAATATCAATGAGTCTGTCCTACCTTGAGGTTTTACAGAATCCCCTAACTTGTTTGGGCAGGCTTTGGAGCAAGTGTTAGAGAAGTTTTCCATCCCTTATGGGATTACTTTGCTGCAGTATATAGATGACTTGTTGGTGTTAGAGCCAACAAGATAGCAAGGGTGGAAGGGGAGAAAGGGAAGCTATTTGTGAAGGGAGTGGGTGGGGTGCTCTGAGTTCCCCATCCTTGGATGTTTGTTCTGGGTGACTTTATGCCAGCTTCAGGGGGTTTAAAAACATGAGAAAGTTTGATTTCGGGTAAAAAATTGGAAATGAAAATTTTGTAGCTTGATTTGAAAACCAATGAAGTTATAAAAGGTTAGAAAACCATCCACCTCTCAGGATAAACCTGTAGGAAGGCTTTATTAAAACTGACTTTGCATAAATTTTGGTAAAGATTGGACTGGAGATTGTTATACGAAATCTTAAAATGTTTTCCTGGACTGTTCAATTAATTATTGGAACTCTAGAGGTTTTCTACCTGGGGAGGAAACTGACTACAACCTGTTAGAATTGATTCAAATTGCTGACCTGAGGGATTAATTCTCAGGAGGGTGGAATGCCTAGGGTAGTGGTTTTCTTTTTTTTAATCTGATAAGCTTCTAAAAACTAGACAGGACTTTTCTGCTCTCTTAAGGAAGTAGGAAAAAAAGCAGGGGGGAAGAATTATTCAGAACAGAAATTGCCCCCATGTGTCTTTTAAAGGGAATATATGAAGTTGTGGAGAATATTTCCTTTTAAAGGGCCAAGAGTATTGTTGAATTTAAAACAAAAAAAATGTTTTTAAATGCTTATCATTAGCGATTATAAGTCTAGATTTGGTTTGATTTAAGTTTGTTTTTACCTCAGTTTACTGTTCTGTAAAGGGAAAAAATGGGTCAAGTTCCAAGTATGTTATAAGGTGTAAGGAATCATTACTAAATTGTGCAATTTGATAAACAATTGTATCACCTATTATGTTAGAAAAGCAATTTCTCTTATAATCTAGAATGTTGTTAGATT